CGGGGAAAGGGCTGGGCGGAGGGACTGGCTTCCCCCCGCCACCGGTGAGGCCATGGTGCCATCTCCGGATCCCGGGGGTCTGCTCCTGGCCTCAGGCAGCGCCCGACCGTGTCGTGCCAGGACACCTGCACCGTCACCTGGAGGTGGCGGGAGTGTGCTGCTGGTTTATTCAGGGGGTGTGCTCCACTCCGCCCCAGTGCCGAAGCTACCCACTGCCAGAGGGCATGAGCACCTGCTGGGGACTGTTGTGTTTGTCATTTTTTCCGTCAGAGAGGAAGCAGCTGTGGGCAGCGGCCTCACCGTAGCCATCTCTGCTTTTCCTCAGGGTTGGGCACACACACGTGCCCCTTTCTCAGGCTGCGGATCCAGGACTCAGGCCACAGTGGGCTATGTGGGCCGCCGCTGCAGTGCTGTGGCCCGCTCTGGCCCTCGGCGCTGGGTCCCAACCACCAGGAAGCCAGCCGGTCCTCGAAACCGTTCTGGCCTGAAATGGAGGCAGTGGGGCTGCTCCTGCCCACCCACTGCCCTCTGAGGTCAGCCTCAAGAGGCCAGGAAGGCCCCTTAGCTTCCACGGGAAGAGGGACAGAGGACGTGGCTAAGCTCCGTGCATCGGGGGCTGGGTACGCCTGGCTAGTTGTGGCGTGAGCCCTGACTTGGCAGCTTGAGAAGTGTGCGTGTGCATGTGTGTGTGTGTGCGTGTGCGCCCACAGCCCTGACAGGAGGGGCACGGAGGAGAGGGGTTGCAGTGTGGCCAGGGTGCTGGGAACATGCTCCCCTTGGCAGTTAAAGAAGGAGAGAGACGAGGGCCCCTCAGGAGGTACCAGTGGTGTGTGGCCTGGATGGTGTGGCAGCGAGTCTGCTCCGGAGTGTGCCCACTGGGCTGGTCAGAGGTGCAGGGCGTCTCTGTGCCTTCTCAGACAGGCCCTCTGCAGGGCGGGGTGCTCTGGCACTGTCAGTCCAGCTCTGCACATTTGTCCTGAACCCCCATAAACAAAGGAGCAGGTGCGTCCCCTGGGTGCAGTGGCATCTCTCTCGTAAGGCTGCCCTAGCCCCTGCTGCCTGGTGCGATGGACAGCCTCCTTTCACCAGAGGTACCGTTGAGCAGGGGAGGAGCGCGCTCTGGCAGGGGAGGGGCTGGGGCTGGGCTGAGGCCTTTGGAGGAAGCAGAGGCCCGAGGACAGGGTGGCCATCAGCGGCCCTCCTCAGCCAGGTCGGGGCACTGCTTTGAGGGAGCGGGAGCAGGGGCAGGGCTGCCTCCTGGGATGGGTGGGGCGATGGTGGGCTCTGGGGACTTCATGATGCTGACGATGGGGCAGCGCCGCTGGGAGGCATGGCATGACACAGCAGGCAGGCCAGGACACTTTTCCAAGGCCATGGAGAGCCCAGGGCGAGCCTGAGCCCTGCAGTGTCCAAGCTCTGCCCTGGAGACTGGGGCCTCCAAGAGGGTGCAGGGCCCGCAGCCCCACCCCGCGGACCCGCACGACCCCCTCTGGGCACTTGGCAGCTCGTGCTAGCTGTGTTCTGGGGCAGGCGTGCCCTGCAGCCAGCGGGCTGGCTTCCTGAGCACTGGAGTCCACCCCCGGCCCCCGGTCAGGCTTTCCCATTGGGCCCCTCACTCCAAATTCAGGTAGTTGTCGAGCCAAGTCCCAGGGCTGTCTCTCCTGGACCCCGTGCTCCCCGGCCATGTCGAGTCAGTCCCGTAAACAGAGTAAGCGGCCCTCACGAAGCAGTCCAGGCTCTGCGGTTACCAGCCATGTGCCCATCGTCAGGGAGGGGGGGTCCTGCCTGGTGGTCCCCAGAAGAGACAG